TCTCTCTTCTGCGGGTTGCTCACAGATCCTGCGCTGTACTGGCCACAGTGCAATTCCTCTTGAAATCCTTCAAGCAGGCACCACCTTCTAAAAGCCCGAAGATAAAGCCAGGTCTAGCAATTGCCATTCCAACAGCCGGTTGACAAGGCAAAACGGAGGCCCTGGCACAAACACCTCGGACAGAGGGATCTGCAAGCATCGGAACAGGATGGCCCTGCACCTGCCTGCCTCTTTAAGCGACAAACAGGAATTCGGTGGAATTTCCGAGAGATGCCGGTTCTTTGAAACACAAAACCAGGCTGCGTTCAGACCGGGTCTCACTGTATTTCATACATTGTCAAAACCTGCAGATCAGCAGGGGCTGCACAAGAGAGCAAATCCCTCCCCCCCAATACACACAGAAAGGCAAAAATTGCATCCAGGCAAAAAAAAAAAAAAAAACCCAAACAAAGCACATGAAGCGACGGAAAACAGAAATGAAAGTATTGTCCTCCAGTTCCGACAGGTTCGATTACTGCAATCCCATCCTATTTTTAAACGCCACGCCAATGACTCAAGCATACATTTCCGAGCCAGAAAAGCTGTTTGAGGTCCTTGTTAACAAAGAGACGAGATAAAGGAGTCCCGGCATTCTCCAGCCTTCAGATTGTCTCCAAAAGGGGGTGGTGGTGGTGGTGGAGGGGGGGGGTGGGAGAAAAAGAAAAAACGACCAGACTGGGATTCCAACTTCAGGAATTGCAGGTTGTTGTTTTTTTTTAAAGAAAGAAAAATTAAAACGCACTTTAAGAAAAAAAAGCAATCCAGAAGGCAAATAAATAAACGAGCAGCCCGGTAAAGCTTTCTCTCTCTCTCTCTGGGCCCTGCAGAGGATAGGTGCTCCCTCTTGGTCTCCGCTGAGTTTACTGCAGGATTAAAGTAACGCTGCCTGGCAGCTCTGCTCTGTTACTCCTCCTTCCCCCGTCCCCTGCCAGTGAAAAGAGCCAGCGACGTCGGCACCGGAGGACAAATGCAGCAGCAAGGAATTTTCCTCCCATCACACGTTCAAACACTGTAGCCAGTCACAGAGCCCCATTTATCACTTCAGCCTCATGAAAACATTAAGACTTCAGCATCTCTCCTTCCCTTCGATTTGGACAGCTCGGCGTTGCAGCCGGCTGTTAGCTGGTGTGCTCTCTTTTCCTTCCTTCCCCATATGGAGTTGTAGTAAAGTTGGGCACAAAATCTCAATAGCCGCCGTTTTCTTAACGTAAGAAAATCATTCCAGCTGTCCACACAATACTATACCCCCCTGTGCTTCCACCTCAGAACACATCACTGAACATCATTTCACAAGAAAAGCCTTTTTTTTTTTTGCCCGTGTGCACCTGCTCCTCATTACAATGCATCACGAGACTGCCGCCTTCCATATTTAGCATCCGCTAATGGGAACGAATATATCAATCAGTGGCGGAGCGGAGCAGTCACAGATTTTAACTGCGGAATTAGCATTTCCAGTTCTGCAGTGCCCTGTTGGCTCGGCTCCTGGCGACAGCTTTATCCAGAGAGCGTTCACAATGCAGAAGACTCATTCGGCTGCTGAGGGGCATGGGGCTGCATATCGGCTATCGCACGAGGACCTGTAATTTGCACGATTGTTTCACACGCCTTTCTTGTGACTGAATCGAGTCGAGGAAAAACTAAAACCAAAATGCCGACGCTTTTGCGAGCATTTTAGGGATTTCCAACAATAAAGCAAAGCTCAAACACTGAATATGTGCTTCCCATTAGGGATAAATTCAATTAATCCAGGGCACCCCCCAGGGCATCTATACTAAAGAAGTGGGGACTTTAATTTCAGCATTTCCTTGCTGTCACAAACATAAGTACTGAAACAATAAAGAACACCTCTTGAGTATCTCCAATTAGTAGAATCGCCATTTGCTAGGACAGATGTTTATAAACACAGAAGAGATATTAGCGACAAAAAATGAAGTGTCAAAATAAATGAAAGAAGGGACGACCTATTCTTTTAATACCAAGAACGTCCCACATGCACACCAACACATGCACGCAAATACACTGAAGTCTTAGCTCTTGAGGATATTGAACCTTTCCGATTATTTTAGTTGTAACCAACGTTATACTGTCAAAGGAGATGGAGCTAAAAATAGTGAGAGTTGAAGGCGGTGAATCAATGCTCATCAATTATTAGGACATCAGATTTTTCACTTGACTCGTCTTGAGCTCGATTGATTTCCTCTGCACTGGTTCTGATAAGAGCGGCTGTCTAAAGCTCAGTGCAGTCCCTGGCGGGCTTCAATCAAGACAAACAGTAAACACTACCAAAGCCTCATTGCGAGGCACTTTCAGGTTTCAGATGTGAATAAAAAGCACTACAGATCTCCATCTCAATTATCTGCTTTGTAGATTTCTCCCCACCTTAAGACACAAGCCTAAATTAGAGCTGAAAACCGGCTGTGAACATCTATTTTTGCCACTGCTGTGATTTGGATTACATTTTCAAAAGCCAAATAACAATATCAATCGTTTCCCACTGAGCAAGCAGAGAGAAAGGGCAAAACCCAGCCAGACATCTTGAGCGCTTGCAATAAGGAGGAATCCTACAGGGAATCGCTTGACATTTAGCACACAAAGAAACCTACCCACACCTCAAAGAAGTGAACGCTCAAGTGAAAACGTTCTTTGCGGACAAACCGTGCCACAGTAAGAGCCCCGAGCTCTGTGCCTCGGAATTCCAAACCATCAGAAATTGAAAGAAAACCAAATGGACGCTTTGCACAGCTCCTCGTGTTGTGAGGTGGAGTCAGACACAGGGAGCGCATTGTGCGCTCTGTTTGTTTCTCTTGACCATATGCTGTACAGCCAACATGGTGTTGGGAGAAGTGAAACATCTGACCTTTGACAGCTATTTATCCATCCTAAGGAGTCAGCTGACAGGTAACATCTGGTTACAGTATGAATTGGACACGGCAAATACATCTTCGCTATTCTGCACCCCCTTCCCCCTGATGCTGAGTCACAGTCACTAGCCCAAGAAGCTGTTTTAATATTGTAGCAACCACACAATACACAAATTGAACTGCAGATGCCCTGCCACTGCCACAGAAAAATACCTAACTGATCTAAATATATAAAACACTACACCACTGAAGCAGGCAGTGTGGGTACTGAAATCTACCATGATGTGCGTTAAGGGGTGGTGAAATACTTGCTGCCAGTGGTATTATCGTGTTGAAACACAAGCATGCACTGTAGCATTAAAACTGACATAATACAGCACAAATTTGTAGTTTCAAATCTTCATGTTTTTGTCAACACTTCCAACATTGTCTAATTTGATGGTCCTGTAAAAAGACACTCATCTGCCCTCACCAAACCTTCTAGAAACGCTCAACTCCCACAGGGGAACTAGGCTGAACACCAGGCAAGTCCCCCAATACAATGAAACTGGATAGGTTCATGATTTCCAATGGCGGCGCAGTCCTCAACAGGATCAATACAGGGCAGGCTCCACAGTGACATCAGACTAAATGAAAGCCGCATTTGGGAAACAGTTATTTGCTATAATTTTGACTTCAAATGGGGAAAAAATACAACCTTCCCATCACCCACCAATGCAAAAAATGTATTTGAGAATAAGATTTCTTTGCTCCTGAACAATCATCTGTCTACCACAAAAGAAGAAGAAACCCATCGCAGCTAGAGGCACAATTTCTAATTAAGCTAGGTCTTAGGACCGAAAGGCAAAGTAGGACCCATCAGTGAATTCCAGCTCAATGAATGAAGAGGTCAGTGTATGAACTGCCCCAGGATACAAAGAAAATTGATTCGGTTCAGTCTATCTTCGTACTAGAAACCAAATTTAAACTGGTAAAAAAAAGTGTGCCAGAGCAGCTGTTACACCATGTAATGTGATTATAATGCAGTTATTTTTCAACAGTAATTCTTTTCTTAATCATAACCTTCCTCATTAAGTCTTAGTTCACAACGACATAATGTGTGGAAAGGTATTCATGTACAGCTCTAATCAGACTAGTCTTTTAAAAAGGACTGTGTTAAGAGCATGCCTAATAGCATTATTGCCTCAAAATTGTTTTGTGTACAAAATTGCAACCCAGACACTAAACCCAAACACCATGGTTTCAGCAGCTTTGGAAATTCACTGCCTCCCTGCAACTCCACATCTTCTCTTTCAGTGCCCTGAAGAATAGCAGTACTGTGCCTCTCCTGTCCACTGAGACATCCCTTAATAAAACATGCTGTACTTATAACGCTATTTATATCATATTAAAAAGACAAAAGCAGACGAATGACAGCATATGATTTGTAAGCTCCTTGATCTCTATTATGTCATCAAAACTGATTTACTGTATCTTCATTAAGCTTGAAAAATGGTAAATATCACAACTGGATCAACAATCCTCCTTTCTTGAGCAAAGCCTAACATTGTTCTGAAGTGTGATGAACTCCCTATTACCATAGTAGATTGTGTGTGCAAGCTCTACTGTGTGTACAATCTACCATACTCTTCACTTGCATCAGGGAGGAACTACAGGGTTCAGCTGCTCAGCAAAAAATAGTTTTACTGGAACAACACAATGGCATTACAAGCTGATACAGCTATCATAACGCTTTGAGTCAGAACTGAAAGGAAGTGGTAGAAAATGCTCAAGATTCTTGAAAGCAGTACTCAATATTTTGGTTCATTCAAAAACCTTTCACCTCTGCAGTATCCTTCCTAATTACAGCATCAACAATTAAATTTGTCTATTTATTTTATTCTTTGAAACACTGTATGTTGGATTTAACGCGATATTTGCCCAAGTTCTACAG